CACCCCCAGATCCCCCTGCAGAGGACACCCACCCATCACCCCAGGTGTTGAAACTAGAATCCTCTGTTCTTTTTAAAGAAAAGGAAAATCCGAGCCAGGACATCTCCAGCTGATCTGGACGGATCAGATCTAACTGCAACAGCAGATCTAACTACAACTCAGCCGTACAGCCCATTTTATCTGAGTGCTTGTGTTAGGAAAAAACAACCACAAAATACAAGAAGAATCCATTTTAAGTGGAAACAAATACTAAGTAAAAGCTCAGCTTAAATCCAGGCTACATACAAGTTATGTAAAATTTGCAATGAGCACGAGAGCTCTGGCTGATCACCTGTGTTTCCAGTTGACGGGTGGGAGCAGCGAATACGAGTGCTGGTGCCTTTCCTGATGGCTTCTGTTTGGTCTCTTTCCAGTATGCCACAACAGGCTGCTCCCTGGCACTCCACCACACAGAAAAGCCAAAACATGAAGCCATGTGTGAGTACCGTCCCTACTCCTGCCCGTGCCCGGGTACCTCCTGTGACTGGGAGGGGTCCTTGGAAGCCGTCATGTCCCACCTCATGCATGCCCACAAAAGCATTACCACCCTTCAGGGAGAAGACATCATTTTCCTTGCCACAGACATTAACCTGCCAGGGGCAGTGGACTGGGTGATGATGCAGTCGTGCTTTGGTCACCACTTCATGCTGGTGCTGAAGAAACAGGAGAAGTGTGAAGGTCACCAGCAGTTTTTTGCCACCGTGCTGCTCATTGGCACCCGTAAGCAGGCAGAGAACTTTCAGTACAGACTGGAGCTGCACGGCAGCTGCCACCGGCTGACCTGGGAGGCGTCTCCCTGCTCCATCCACGACGGCGTGTCCGTGGCCATCCGCAGCAGCAACTGCCTCGTTTTTGATACAGCTACCGCACACCTTTTTGCTGACAACGGAAACCTCGGCATCAACGTGACAATCTCTATGTGCTGCCCGTGATGCATTGCTAGTGAGACTCGAGCTGTCTGGGTGTAGTGCTTCAGCAGGGTTTGGTTTTGGTTCCTGTTTTTTACGCTGCTCAGCTATGCCATCTTGTATGCTAAGGCTTCTGACTAGCCAACGGTTGTAACTTTGGGCAGAAGAGGAACAAGAGTGTGCTGTAAGTAACATGAGCGGGACAAGGTCTTTTAAAATTCTTGGGTGCCTTAGGAAGATTATACACACAGAGTTACCTTTTATAATTATATTTTATGTAAAGAGTGCTTCCATTAGATATGTGGCTCAAGAGGCTCCTGTTTGGAGCACATCTAGAAGCCCTTTCAGCAGCAGTACAGACTCCTTCTGTCACAGGTGGGCTTTAATAAAAGGCTTTAGTATCACAAGAGGGTTTGGTTTGGAAGAGATGATTATCTGTTCCAATCCTCCTGCCATGGGCAGGGACATCTTCCAATATCTCAGATGGCTCCAAGCCCTGCCCAGCCTGGCCCTGGACACTGCCAGGGATCCAGGGGCAGCCACAGCTGCTCTGGGCACCCTGTGCCAGGGACTCCCCACCCTCCCAGGGAACAATTCCTTCCCAATATCCCATCCAGCCCTGCCCTCTGGCAGTGGGAAGCCAGTCCCCCTTGTCCTGTCACTCCAGGCCCTTGTCCAAAGTCCCTCTCCAGCTCTCTTGTAACACCCTTAGACACTGGAAGGGGCTTTAAGTTCTCATCATTTGCCCTTAGTGAAGCCATATTGGCTATCACAAGTCACCTTATTTCCCATGTGCCTTAGCATCATTTCCAGGAGGATTTTTCCAGGCGTTGAGGTGAGACCTGACCGCCTGTAGTTCTGTGGATCTCCCTTATTCATCTTTCTAAAAAAGGGGGGTTATGTTTCCCCTTTTGGAGTCAGTGGGAACTTCTCTGGACTGCCACAACTTCTCTAACATGATGGATGATAGTGGCCAAGCCACTTCTTCCACCAGTCCCTCTGAACCCACGGGTGCATCTCATCATGTCCTGTGGACTTGTGCACCTTCAGGTCCCTTAGACCTCCTCGACCCCCATGCTCTCCTAGTGCTGGCAGTTCTTTGCTGCTCTCTGCCTCCTGTGACTTGGCCAGTGTGGCTGGAGCAGCTTGCTGTGAAGGCTGAGTCAGAAACGTGGCTGAGTGCCTCAGCCTTCTCCACGTCCCAGGGAACTGGGTTTCCTATTTCCTTCCATAGAGGATCCACATTCTCCCAAGTCTTCCTTTTATCACCAGTACCAGTACCAGTACCTATAGAGGTTGCTCTGCTTGTTGCCATTGATGCCTCTGGCCAGATTTAATTCTTTCAGGCTTTGGCAGTCCTAACCTGATCCCTTACAATCTCTCTGTACTCCTCCCTGGCTGCCTGTGCTTTCCTAGTAGATGAGAGAGTAGGTGAGAAAGGAAAGAAATCCAAGCAGCCTCTCACAGGAGAAGCTGTGAGGGGAGCAGTAGGTACTTCAGCAATATTGCTCCATTCCCTGGTACCTTATGGAAGGGAAGGGCACTGGGTCAGCTGTGGTGGCTTTAACAGGAAAAAGGAGAGAAGGGGCTGGGGCACATTTCACAGAGCATGGAACTGCTGGCTCCTGTCTGCTTTAGGGAGATGGGGCCAGGTACAGGGGCAAGCAGGAGGCACAGGTTTCACAGACTGCAGATGGCTGGAGCCAGTGACACAGGGTTGTCCATGTGCAGCTGCCCTGGGACACGCTCTACTGTTGATTATTGTCAAAGATTTATAATATAACAAGAGCTTTATGGCCAGTGTCTTGTCATTTGCTATTTAAGTTTTGTTGCCATATTTCTTTTATTTTGCAATAAATATTTTGCAAAACCTCCACTGAGGAGCTGTGCTAACACACGAGTGCGTGGCAGCTGCTCCGTGGTTTGTGGTGTGCTCGGCCATGCTGGATCAGCTGGGATCCCCTGGCATGGGCTGGCTCTCCCTGGAGGGTCCTTGCCCCTGCCACCTCCCAGCCCCGCTGCTGGACACACGAGCAGAGGAACTGGGTGGGGATGTGAGTCCCAGGGACAGCAGTGACAGCCTGACCTGTGCAACTGAATCATGGGGCTGTCACCACAATCGACTCTGCCTGCAGCTCCCCCCTGCCACAGGAACGTTCTGCTGGAGTCCCTGACAGCAAATACCAGCTCCCCACACGGCTGTGCCAGATCTTGTCCGTGCACCATTTGGAGGAGGCAGTGAGCCACGAGGTGACACTGCCAGGGGGAAGCCTCACAATGGTGGAAAATGGCAGGTAAAGGGACAGGTGAGGCTTGGTGTGAATAAATACAATACAAAAGGAGGAAAACCAGTCCTGACTGTTCCTCCTGGGAGAGCTCTGGAGTTATGTCCAAGCCCTAAGCAGCCGTCACCAGTACCTGGCAGCAGCCCTCAGAAAAGTGCACAGGAACAAGTCTGGCCTCAGTGAAGGGAAGCTCGGTCTGGCTGCAAGAACTTGGAAGTGACCATGGAAAAAACCTCCCAAGGAATTACTCTCTAGGCACTGAATACCAACGATTAAAGATTCTACAGCTGGTGTTGCTTACATTGTGCCAGCAGAACTCCAGCAGCATCAGCCTGGTGAACTAATTGCCTCCTGCATAAACAGGATCGAAATCAAGCTATGGTTCCAACAGCTGTCACCACCTGTGCTTTCATCAGGATTTAAGCAAGAATTCCTAAGGATTTGATTAATTTTTCTGTAATTTGGTAAAACTTATAGTGGAAGGTAATTTGGTTATTGACATTTGGGACATAAGAGGATTTTTGCATAAAGCAAAGCTCCAAAGTGTGTCTTTGAATATAGCAGGATTAATTAATTACTCCAGTGTTACCTATAACCCACATAAGTTAACACACTTTATCATTAGGTCTGTCCACACCATTCAGTTCTGAAGAAGTAGCAAACTCTTGCTAGACTTCACCTAAAAAAAACCAAACAAAACGAACCCATCACCTTGTGTCTTTTCTGACTGAAACTGAGTTTAGGATAAGGAATACCTCAGCTGGCACTGCCAAGAAGGGAGGTGTTTCCAATTCAGGTCACCTAGTAGACAAGTGACATTCATTTCAGGATTCCCTCATCAGGTTTCAGGTTTTCCTCCCAAGGCAGCTGATATGACTTCCCAAGTAAAGTTGTGACAGTTCCTTAAGACATTCAGAAGAGGTTATTGAGGCCTGCCTGGTTTTCTGAACAGAACTGACCCCTCTCAAGCCCCCAGCCTTGAAAGGGATGGTGAAGCATATCTGGACAGAGCTTGCAGCAGGCAGACCTGCATGCCAGGCAGAGCCCCGGCCAGGCTACAACACCTGGGAGGTGCCCTGAGCCCCTTGGCTGCTCTCCAGCCCGCCAGGACCATCTGCTGTGGAAGGTGATGCCCAGGGAGCAAAAGCTGTGCCTGGGAAGCAACTTTTCTGTTGCTAGAGTTCTCCCTAAAAACTATTTCCGTTTCAAACACAAATGAAAATGCAAGTGTCCAGGGCCTGATGAGTTTAGACTGAACACAGCACAGCTCGAGGGGCCCTGGCTGGGGCTGTGCCTCTGGCTGTCGGGACAGGCACTCGGCTCCGTCGTGCCACAGCCAGACCCAAGGGCTGTGGTGACCCCAGGAAGCCATGGAAATGATCTTGCAGTGCTCTGGGCACCAACACCAGACGAGTCACTGATACCGCTGGCTGCACCTCAACATGCTCTTTCCATCTGAAAAATAAGTGAAGCTGACTTAGTGTGTTGTGGAACTCACATGCTAGTAAGACACTGTGAATTTGTACAGACAGCACTGGTAAAGTAGCACACACCTGCTCTCCCGAGGGGTATCCAAACCTGGCCGTGTTTGCACATGACAGTTTTCTCTCTTTTATTCTGCAGACTGTACGTGCAGGTTCCTTGCAGAGGTTCCACAGCGGCAGGTCCTAGGGAGAGCTCAGGGATGTGTGACAGTGTGTGGCACAGGTGTCAGGAGCGCGCTCGGGCAGGTGTTCCATGTGCACGCCGGTGGTGTCCGCAGTCAGGGCGGGTTTGGTGACGCGTGCTGTCACCCCCAGCCCGGCTCCCAGCTCCTGGCAGAAGCAGCAGCTCCGGGGCTGGGCAGGAGCAGCACCGAGAACGGCTCGGACACCGCTGGCACCAAGG